TCTGTGTGCAATTGCAACACCTAGTCGCGCAGCGATGCGCTCATTCGCTTCTGAGACGTCCTTTATGTATGGTAGAGCGTGCCATATGCTCGGTGGTTCTTCTGTTTGAGTCCTCCGGGGCCGAATGCGTAGGCATCGGTTTCTAAATGCTTTTGGATAACCGCTCTGCATGAATTGGTCGCGTAGATATCGGGCCTCGCGTACATTTTCCTCCGACTTGCTGTGTAGCGGTGTTGCAGCCTACCTCCTTGCCACTAGCGTATTCTCGCGGGAACAATTTTGGCCGCCCAGTCGTTCGACCCAGCGCGATGGCCGATGTCTGCATGCAAGGCGTGACCTTTAGCCTCGGGCGGCTGGGGCACACGCACGCACCCCAAAATGGTCAGGCCAATCAGAATCCTGAAGCTGGCTCACTGAATACTCGCTCTAGGTCCCTCTAATTATTCCCGGACTTCTGATCATGCCGCTCCAGCAGAAGGACTTGCTCTCCGTAGTCAATCTTCTTCCTCCTTATTCTCCGTTCCTTTGTGTACACAATAAACTATTCCTACTATTCTGGCCTCTACCGACTTCTTCTCCACTAAGTAACCATGGTCTGAAGATCGCAGTTGCTAGGCTTTAACTTACTTAACCCCCTGCGATAACTGCAGTGAACCTGAATCCGTTTGAAGAGTGTTTTTACACAGGTCCGTTTGTGAGCAACTGGATGGTTACTATGAAAACTGAGAAGTTGTGCTGTGTTCGTTGCCCCCCTGTCTTCGTTACCGATACAAATACCTGGCACGCGAACGTTCTCTTTCATTCATAAACTATGTTTGAATTTATCAGAACAGTGGAAGTCAGTGAGTTGAATACATACCACTCAAGTAGCCATTTTTTACGGGGTATGCTTTTTACAGGTGGTCGGAAAGAAGAACCCCGTGGGCTGCACGGTAATTAATCTTAGAAGTCTACTCAAGTACTATGTACGATAGGACTGTCTTTAGAAGTTCTATTTGCTTTTGCTCTATAAAAAGAAACTACTTTTACATTTTCAGTAGCCCGAATTTTCCCCTTTCCGTTAAATTCCGCCAATATAAGACCTGCGGAACAAGAGCTTATGTTAATGGAGTTGATTATATTTAGTCCACTAAAATAATTATAAGTTACTTTAATTCAATATTCTTTTATCACTTTCAACGTAATTAAATATACATTTATGCTCGTCCCTGAAGAATTACATGTTTAACTGCTAATTCCGCAAGACAATTGGGCGCGGAGGATAGATATTTAGGCGGCCGTACAAGACAGTTTTTGTCCTTTCTTCAAATCAAAAAAAAATTTCAGTGTGTCATTTCTTGAGAGATAGGGTGTCTCCTGTATGCAGGAGCAACGTCAAAGACAAGGAGGACCAGAATAATCATTTCCGGCTCATTAGTCGTCATCAGCCAGCTATACCTGACCCCAGGTCTGTAGCGCCTTGGGTTCGAACCCCGGTTCCCTGCTTATCGGGCCACTGGTCTGTTGTTTTTTGTCGGAAAACATGCTTTCTGCGCTTACTGCATATTAGTAGGTAGCCGCATTTTTGAACGTGCTACCAGAGACTAATTTAGAGTGTCTTACTAGGTCTGCCATTGATGGGGTTGGTGTTTGCAAAGTTACGCCAAAGCCGGCATGTTCCGATATTTTATCCTTTATCTTTTCCCGTCCGACGGCTGCAACTGTA